TCAAAGGACGAGTGCTTTTGCATTTGTTAGGCCATTGCTCTCAGTCAATTCCGGTTTAGAACTGAAAGTGTCTGAAGGCTTAGGTCTCCTAAAACAACATTTCTGTTCTTTGTACATACAGAAAGCTAGTAAGTCAGGGGTCTCTGAACTGAGGGGAGGGACAGAAGGAGAAGGGTTGAAAAAGCACTAATATTTTAGTTCACAAAAATGTACATACCTTAGTAAGAAATGAAAGAGCAATTGTTAAAGGATAAGGGCTTAGTGGTAAGTTTTACGTATTGCAAAATGTGAAAGTGACTGATTCAAATGAAAATGTGATGTTAATGCATTTTCCCCCCAGCCCATGCCCAGATTTTATTTTTTTGGGGGGGGGGGGTGTGTGTGTAGGCAAATGGAGTGAAGAAGCAAGCTACAGCTATAAGTGCAAAGTCTCTAACTGAAAAATTCATATATCTATGAACATGATTCAGGTGTTTGAGACCAAAAGTCATAGGTGATATTACGTTCAAAAAGCAGATGAAAGAGGGTAAAGTGCAACAAGACCAGCCAGGACTCAAGGCAGGCTTCAGGAGAATGCAACAGGAAAGGGTTACAAAATGATGTCGTTTGTAAGACAGTTTGTACATTACAACAGCAGCGATCAGGTGGCTAGCTTCAAACTTGACTACAATAAAAGAAAACATACTTTTTTTCATGCCAGAATGAAGAACAAGCAGATGACTGTGATAGGACATGCAAAGCTAGGCTAAAGGATGAAAGGGGCAGAGTATTAGAAATGCAGAATTCCCCCCACTCACTTGTGATATCATAAACAACAACTGCAACAGTGGAGTCACGAATGTAGCTAGGAATCAAGCTCCTGAACCGTTCTTGACCTGCTGTGTCCCATAATTGCAACCGTACCTAACAAAATCAGTCAAACAAGCAAGAAAAATAAGAAAAAGGTCAAACCCAGTGCAATATACCTACTTGTGATATCGTAAACTACTACAGCAGCAGCAGAGTCACGGATGTAACTGGGAATGAGGCTACGGAAACGTTCCTGACCCGCAGTATCCCACAGCTGCAACCTGATCTGTGGGTGGGAGAAAATTAAAAAAGCCAAACTGCCACTAAAAATAAAAGCGTAAATAAATTTTACTTTTTGAAAAAAAAAAAAAGCTAAATAAAAAGTATAAACTCATGCAGGAGATGACTGGGGACTGGGAGCAGCAGCATACTGTCTCCTCCTTTACAGCAATCTCTCCCAAGCGCTAGTATTAGCCAAACCGGTATATGTGCACCTATCTTGGCTTTCCACTGTCTATTTAAAAAACGCTTCCCTTCCAAAATGGGAGAAATAGAACGGCTCAGCTTTCAAACTGAGAGGACCAAGGAGAAAACTATGGCAAACGTTCACCTGCAGTTGTGCCTACACAAGGTTTTTATGCTCTGCTGCTATCCTTCCTCAGGCCTCCCACATGTAACCTCCAGCAGCCTGGAGCACGGTCTTCTAAAGCAAGAGCCTTCAGCTGCTGTCAGAGCACTGGAAAAGCTGCTAATGCGAATTTTTCAAGGAGGCTAAACCGCTCGTTATTACTCTATATGTAAGCCTTAGCCACACTGCAAAGGAACATGCACACAGACGAGGTTGAACGTCTCTTACCATCAAGGTTCTGAAAGAAAAGGCAAGAAGATATACTAAAAGCAACACGTATGGCAAGATGCGCAAGGGCCAGTTCTGCTATGGAAAGAATATCCATCCCATCACTCGAGCGCTTTCAACGCAATCACATTCATTGTGGGTTTCTACAATACCATAAGCTTATGCAGCACTGCACAATTCGCTTCTGCAAATAGCGCAATGGCTGAATGTCTTAATTAAGAATCTGAGCTCATGTTAAACCACAGACTTGCTTCCACAGAGGAGTGATTTCATTTCAGTAACTAGAGCTGCAGGAAGCTAAGAAACAAGTATCGTTTGTGGATTATTACTGAAGGCAACCTTCTTTTTAAACAAGTAATATTAAGAACTATTGAGCTAGCTATTAACTGGCAGCCTTTGACAATTTATATTTTATCCTTCTGTCTTGTGACATCAAAAACTGAAGGGGTTAAGCACGGTTCCCTTCTCCAAATTCCCACCATTATGCACCCCTGAAACTATCCGTGTCGTCTCTTTCTTCAAAGAGGATGACACGATAGCACCTTCTGCCGCTTGTAAAATGGCACTCATGAGCCCTCCACAGATGAACCAAATGGTGATTTCCCGTTTCCCTAAACAGAGAAAGGAGCTGTCTCCACAGCACTTGTCAGTCTGGAAGCAGCTGGTAGATGAAGGCTCCAAGTGATCTCAAAACTGTGGGCTGCACAATTACAACAGATGCCGATCCTCATTCCTACTGTACAGAGAGAAGCGCAACAAAAATCTTACTCACTGTTCGATCCTCCAAATACATGGTTTTCGATAAGAAGTCAATGCCAATTGTTGCCTGGAAAAAAAAATGAAAAAAAACAACACCTCTTAAATGAAATCTCAGAACAACTGTAGTGATTTTCAGGGGAGTGAGAATTACTGCCGCATCAGAATTCAGCACCTGTAGCGGATCTGAAAGAAAAATACAGTGGTTTTCTTACTTTCAGGATGTAACTCTGTAAGATTCACCAGGCAGTTTCCTTAATATCCATAACCGAAACGGTATCTTAAAGCACAAAAAGTTGTTGACCCTTAACTTGCGTTTATGCATATCGACAGTTTAATCCATACAGTCATATGGGTATCAGCAAGGATTTTACGCATAAGTTAGTGTGCATCAGCTGAACCAAGGTAACTGGGCACCGCGTATTCTTCCTGACTGCCAAAGATCTTAATGTATCTTAACTTCAAGCCTTTTTCATTAAAGCTAAGGCGGATATCTTCACATCTGATGCAACAAGAGCGCGCACGCACGGCCCCCAACAATTACTAAAGCTCAGTTAATACGAAAGCTCACTGCAGCGTAACTGCATCCAAGTTTCTAGACACTAGTGGGAGCTTCACATCAAACATCCTTGTATGTGTTTTAAGAGAAGGAGCAAAGCACTCCTAAGCGCTATCAAGAGCTGCTTCTTAAATACACCATCTCCACTCCATTTTTCGAAGCTGCAGTGAGGGTGAATCCAAGCTCTAGGATTTTTTTTGCAGCAG